GTTCACTGTTCACTGTTCACTGTTCACTGTTAGTGAATTTAGTGTTAGTGATTATCAATATTGCACCTGTTCATTGGGTAAAAATATTAATATTAATTTTAAACATGCAGGGACATCATTATTTTGCACAATGATGTGTTACAATTAAAAATAAATCAATAAAAATAAAAAGCACCCTTAAAGTCATTAGATATGATAAATTGTGTCACATTAATTAATCTTATCTCAGCTGTAGCAGTGAGTTTAAAACAGGATGATGGAACTACAGTAGTTTAATGAAGAATCTGTCTCTGAAATAATTATTAAATCAAGTGTTAATTTATGTAGGTAAGAGTATGTTTAAAAACTTGGTAAAATACACCAGAATGCAGGAAATGGCATCTATTTCGTTCAAAATTTTCTGGGGGAGGACCCCCAGACCCCCCAACAGTGTGTCTCCCCACTTTTAAAATGTTCTGACGCTCAGCTTTATAAGGTAGTCACTGCCTGTATAAGGACATAAGGAAAAGACAAAAACACAACTAGCTGCAGAAACTTTCAAGTAAAAAAGATGTAATTGTCCTGGCCACCCCTGTGTGAGTAGTGGTCCCCGTCTGGCTTCGCCACTGCTTGGTCAATCCAAGTAACCTTAACTTCAATTATAAATTTTGGTTAAAACAGAAGTTAAATCTATTATGAATTTTGATGTTTTGTTTAATTTTGTGTCTTTCTTTGCCTACAGGTGGAGCGAGGAAGCCCCAAGAGCTGCTTCCTGTTCATGGGGGAGCTGTTGTGTGAAGTGAACTGGGTCAGCGTCCTGAGCGAGCACTTACAAACACCTCCCGGCTTGACAACCTACCCCGCTCTGACGGACGTGGCAACGCAGAAGGAGTCACACACCATGTTGGTCTATCTGCTGTACATGCTGGTTTTTCTGGCAAAAGAGGAGCAACTCCTGAATAAACAGGTGAGTTCAGATAAATCAGAATCAAACCTCTTCTCTCTTCATTCGTTCATTTTACACGTTCTTCCTCTTCATCCTCCAGGACGCTCCTCTGCTCAGTCTGTTGGTTCAGTCCACCGCTCTGCCCTGGCACCGACTTGACCTCTCCTCATACCAGAGCATTCTGGGATACGTCAGCACCCACTACCTTCCATCTCTGCTCCTCAGCTCTGATTCTGCTCCTCAGCTGCTGCTGAAATTACTGCGTAGYGCTGCAGGTCTCCACCCACACCCCAGTGAAGACCCGCACAAGGTGGGACAGTAAAGTGCCTTTTATTTTCTAATTTGAAAAGAAAATACGATTTATTAGACGCAGTAAATGGAGAGTCTGGTACTTTTAGTTCGTGCGTTGCCGTGAAGAGTCAACGTTGGGTCGAAAATGTAGGAGTTTTTTTTGTGTAATTTGTCATACAGGCATAAATCCTTAATGAATGCATTTCTTTTTCTGCTCAGATTTTTTTATGATTCATTTGAAACCGTGACTGAACATCACAGAATTTACTCAGAGCTGTTTTATTATGAACAAATTTCATGTTGGAGGGTTTAAAAATTCACAAATCTCTGATATCAGCATCCCTGCTGGCCCTTGGCTCCCACTTTCATACGTTTTGTGTGAAAGTGGGAGGTTTGGATCATCTGCACTGAATTTATACTTAAACACTTCAGTTTTCATGGCCAGCCCTGTATCTTGCAATTAAAATGTATTTGTGTACACTTCTCATAGCTGCTTTTGATGTAGAGTACCACTCTTATACAAGTTTTTGTGTTTAAAAAAAACAATATAACAGCTTTAGATTTATGTTTTCTTTTAAATACTTGCTGTAAAGTAGTTTGTTGTTACCAAAAATGCTAAAATATGCAAGAAAAGCTTTGAAAATTAGATAAATTTAACATCCAATTTCCTATAAAAGTTTCCTTTTTTTAAAAAGTTCAGCTACTATTTCATCGTATGATGAAGCTGTATTTGGTTTCACAGTATGAGTGAAATCATGCCCTGCGTAGAGCTCAAGAAAAGCTAAACCTGTAGATATTTGTCGTCCAGGAGGAAACCCTGAAGGCAGGAGGTTATATTTGCTGGTGCGTGCAGTCGCTGGTGACTCTGGAACAAGGAGGTGGCATCACCCTCGGCAGCCTGCAGGCTCAGCTGGAGGCACTTCTGGAGAGCGTCGTTACGTTCAACCCCCCAGGTGGATTATCCTCAACGATCCAACAACCTCTTTTATCCGAAGCGTAAACTAGAAATTAATTTATTTTTTTCACTGTTTTTCCGTGCAGAGGTGGGTCTGGAGCAGAGGCACATGTCGTTCTGCAGCCTTTTCAGTGACGCGTTGGCTCTGCTCAACGGGGTTGGGGTCTCTACAGGCGAGGCTTTGGCCGCTCATGTCATCACCTGGCTGGACAGGAAGGGGAGGGGCTTCCCGATCCTGCCTCTCCTCACCGCCTGCTCGCGCTGCCTGGCATCGGTGCGACACATGACGCGCATCATGGAGGCGTGCATCACGGCACACTTCAACCACGGTGAATATAACTTCTTTTGTGGCGTATGAGATTCATTTCTGTTAGCTTTTAAGTAGGGCTGTGAAATTAATCGAGTTAACYCTGACTAATTTTAGTGCTGCATGGGCATGGATTAAAAATTTTAATTGCGATTAAAATTTACAATCACTTTACTTTGGCTGARTATGTAGGTTTGTATATTGCAATGCACTCAGTGCATGCCAGGTCATGTTTGTAAATGAGAAGTGGTTCTCAAACAGTTTACCTGGATAAATAAAGGTTAAATAAATAAAAATAAAAAAACTCCATGTGTAACACATTATGTACAGTTTTTTTTTTCTTATTGTCTTCTTAATGCTTATTTTATTTTATTTATTTATGTTTTGCTGACAACTGAGAGCTTAGTATCTATCTTTCATTCCTCATGTAGTTCTCATTTGGAATGAAAATCCTTGAATTCTTGATTTAACCTCATTATTCTGCACAAAATTTAACTGACTCAAATATGTTTGGAGCATTTTTAGATCCCGTTTTATATTCAAAAGATCATGTCTAAGCATCAGTTTTGTTTTCTAAATAAAAACATTAAAAACTAATTAATAACTCAAGTAATTTATTTCATCAATATGCAATAGAAATGTATATTAAATTTAAGATTAATCATGATTAATTCACAGCTACTTTGGGATTAATCAGATTAAAAATATTTATCATTTGACAGCCCTATTTTTAAGAGGATGATAAAAAGCTTAATAATTTGTCTGTTTTCACTTCAGCTGAGGAGGAATCTGTAGGTTGGGGTCCTGTGTTGGCATCCCTGCAGGTGCCTGAGCTCACGATGGACGACTTCCTCTCAGAGAGCCAATCAGGAGGCAGCTTCCTGACGCTCTACGCCTTCATCCTGCAGCGCCTCAACACTGAATGCACACAAGCTAATGACCGGAGGATCCTGGGTCTCATTACCTCGTGGACCACCCAAGTCTTCCCCAGGTTTGTCCGTGATGTCAGTTTWTGCTCTTTATAACCTGCAGACACATTAGACATGTGGTTTGTGTCCAGTGGTCCCGGTGATGAAGCAAAACTGTTCCTGTGGTGGCACAAAGCCTTGAATCTGTAYGTGGAGCAGCTGCAGCCACAAGCAGGTCAAAGTGAAGTGTCAGGAGTCGTCATGGGTTTGTTGAGCTTACAGAGCAGGCTGCTTCAGCTCGGAGAAGAGAGACAGAMCTCTGGGCTTCTGGGAGCCATAGGCCTTGGGAAGAGGTCTCCTGTTTCTAATAGGTAAGCAAACCAAAACAACCRGAGCTCAGTTTGAGTGAAACCATGATTCTTTTAGGTTATTTTGGATTTGCATCTAGGTTCAGAGTGGTTGTTCGCAGTTTGGCAGCATTCCTGACCGTTCAGATGCAAGAGACTGAGCTTAGACTCCAACCCACCCCCGACCTGCAGCTCTCTGCAAAAGCACAACAGGTACGCACTAAAACATTCTGTTTCCTTATACCAGTTAATAATCTCCTAAAAAAAACTTAAATTTCATTTTTTCTTTTTATGAATACAGACAGTGGGAATGTTGGAGGCCATGTCCAGCAATAAGCAGTATGCTGAGTCAGAGGAGGCTTTGAATAAGGCTGTCCAGTTCATCCGCTACCCAGGACACTGTCTGAAGGACGGCCCCCGACTGCTGGCCCTGCTCGTCAACCTCCTGTACTCAGACCTCAGATACCTTCACGTCATCCATTAACTTGAACATTTGTCACTTGGAGATTCAGAAGATGTTACCTTCCTGTGGCAAAAAAATAGTGAACTCTTTGCAGACAGAAATCTTACTTGAGCACAAAGTTTTAAGGTTGTGCTGAAATCACATTGGTTTTTCTATCAGTGAGGACTTTGCATGGCTGAAGACGATGTTGTGAAACTGATCTTTTTTGTTTTTGACAGATAATAGATGATGAAGCCGGTCAGAGGTCAAAGCATTTTATTTTTGTGCTCATCTCTGACGTTTTTAGCACTTTACTGTCTTCTCTTATCTGTAATGCCTTCTTGTTTTATTTACCTTGCCTATTGATTGTTGTTTTATTTTTTTTAATTGCCACGAGTTCTGCTCATGATTAGAGAAGCAGTATGTATTTATTGAAGCAGAAATCTTGAATCAGACTGCAGGGCCGGGTCAAATTTCACACCTGCATGTGGAATCTAACAAAAGAAAAGATGAAGGGCAGCAGATTTAATAAGCTTGTCTCGTTGTACCTTCTTCTTTCGTGGTGGGAGACATGCCAAGTAAAGCTCGTGGACAGTGTTTATTGCCTGGTAAAACCCTTTTTCTCTCGATGCCACAATCTGATAGGCTCAATGCTACAGTGTACACATACAGACAGATATGTTTGAAGTGATCATACAACATCTCGCCAGTATTATTCATGTTAAACCAAAAGTGCTCTATTTCTAAAAACGTTTTGGGGATTCTTTGCCAAAGAGACGTAATTTTCACCAGCTCATTATGCCTAAACTATTTACTCTGGTTTCATCCGACTCTGCTGTGTCCTGAAACTGCAGTGTAGAAAAAAAGTCCACACTCACTAAAGTGCACCCAGCTAAACCTACAATGTACCACTCCACTCAGCTTCCTTATAAAGTGCTACATGCACTGTAATTCAGATGGCTCATGCTGGTGGTATTTTACATTAAGAAGGATGTGWTGCTGTTGGAGCCTTTATGTGATTTGGCTTTCGTATACTTGTTTAAGGATAAAAGCATTTTTTTTAAATGTTCAAGGCCGTTTTCATATTTAATTACCCTCATCGGCTCGCCACTCTGTTGCTCTGTACCGTTTCAGAAACAGTCGAACTGCTCCTCAGCAGCGTGGCGCTCGCCTTATTCCAGTGTCGCTCTGTGAGGACTGTTAATGTCAGGAGCATTTTTTTTTATGAGTCACTAATCAAGAATTCGGCTTGGGTTGTGGGAAAAGGAGCGACAGAGTCTGGCTGCACAAAGACAAGTACCGTAAATAAAGTGGACTGATTGTATCTCTGGATCTGTTTAACCTACCTTCTTTATAMATGCAACCTCTGAAACTGGTCTAAATTCCCAGGAGAGACAGTTTTACAGCAGACRATGAACATAGATGAAAGTGAAAAAACTTCTCTATTATATACAAAAGTTTTAAAACAGCTTTCAAACAACCAGACTTCCCTGTAATATTTTAAAATAATATTTTTTCAGTGTTTCTGAAAGTTTTGAAAGTTTATGTCAGGTTTTCAGCTAATCGCTCTCTGACAATCACCATGTTGGGGCTAAAACACTTTTATATCAAACTGGTTTACTTGCTGCTGGTAACAAAGTACCTAAAGACCCAATTTACGATTGATTCTTCACTAAATTGTCTGTTAACTGTTGTTGTACTGGATCATCCCTGGAGTTTAAGAGGCTTTTCATGCCTGAATGTTTTAGTGGTCAAAGTTAGCCTGTTAAAAAAACAAAAACAAAAGACACCTAACTGAAAATCATCAGGTACTGAAGTTAAAATGAATTTAAAAAGGCCAAAGTTCAATTTTGAAAGCCTGAAGGACGTTTGATCAAGATCACTTTAAAACATGACATAAATTTGGTTCATAGGCAGAAAATATAAAGAAATGAAGAGTTTAGCCAAGATAAATAGGCTACCTGTCCATATTGTTCATCCATCCATCCTTCTCTCTTTAACAAAAAATCCAGTGATTGACAGTTGTACAGATTTTTTTTACTTATCATATTTACATAGATTTTAAAAGTTGTATTTTTGAAGTGCTCTCCTCTTCATCTTAAAAATGGGAATGGAATAGAAACAGCCTTTATTGTCCCTCACCATGCGGGGAAATTCAGGTGTAATAGCAACAGCAGATACATACATCAAAAAAGCAATAATAGAATTAAAGATAGTAACAATAAAAATTAAACATAGATCAAAATAAGGCTATCAAGATGAAAGTAGATAAAAATAAAAGCAAGATAMCATGCAGAAAAATATGAAATTACAGGAAAAAACAGTCATGGCAGACTCATGGTCCGAGGGGGTGTGCAAATTGTGTCAAACTCAAGACATTACGTTAGTGTTCCAGTACAGGAAAAATGATGTACAGTTGCCACAGGTTACTATTTATGTAATGATTGAGAGGTAGAGTTGGTTGGCGTGCAAACACAAGCATGGATGCTTATCAAGATTGTTGGGAGCAGTGATGGTTATAGAGTCTAACAGCTGATGGGAGGAAGGATCTTTGGTAACGCTCCTTTGTGCATTCAGTATGCAGCAGTCTGTCGCTGAAGGAGCTCTGCAGTTCAGACACAGTTTCATTCATTGGGTGGGAGACGTTCTCTGTCATTGATGTTAGTTTACCCAGAATCCTTCTGTCTCCCACCACCTGCACTGTCGAGGGGGCATCCTACCACAGAGCTGGCCTTCTTGATAAGCTTATCCAGCCACTTCCTCTCAGCTGTAGATAAGCTGCTGCTCCAAGATCTTTGAGAGTAACATCAATGATACTTACGTTTCCTTATCATGTCTTTGGCTAACTTACCTTAACACTGATTGTTATTCAGACTCAAAGACCGTACCTGGTTTGTCTTACCTYTTTAGGAATGTTTTTGATATGAACACCTACATTGTCAGAACCATAAGTCCTTTTGGGGACCAAAGCCCAGTCCTAATGCCATTTTTAGGTTAGAGTTTAAAGATTGGGTTAGGGTTGAGTATGTACTCAGGGTGGTTAGGGTTAGAGAGTACAGAAATGGATGGAAGTCAATACACGGTCCTAATAAGGACAGAAATACAAATGTGTGGGTGTTTGTCCTAAAAATAGCTTTCTCTGTGCCTAAAGCTGCTGTTGGTTAGACTGAAGCTACACTTTCTTTGTTCAGCGCTCCTGTTCTGACAAGCATTATTGCAGAGTAATTTCTCATGTTGTTGAAAGGTACAGTATGTGTCCCTCGCTTCGAATAGAACTCTGAGACGARAGACTGTGTGTGTTCGTACATTCAGCATCTTTCTTTGACACTACATGTACCGGGGAGAAACCTCTCCTCAGGCAACCGTGGTCTCTATGGTTACAGGACGAGTGAAGGGAGAAGGAAAGGGTACCGAAATCTGAAGCATATATTACAGAGCGAGGAGGAGGAGGTGGGAGATGTTCTCTCCTCCCTTCGTCTGACATCTCTCTCKCTGTTGAATCAACCGTCTGTTCTGTAGTCTCAGTTCTGGTGGGTAGCTTGTATCCAAGTTTTTAAAAAAATTTTGCTCGTGAATACTCGACTTCCCAGGCCTGTGTATTTGTGTATGGATGCACGTGCTCAGAGGACTCGGTGCTGAGCCGGTATTCCTGGCAGACACATCACTGTCTGGCAGATTCTCGTGTCACCATGGAAACCCAGCATCAGGTCAGGAATAACTGTTTTGGTGCAGACTCAGCATCTGAGAGCATTGATGAGCTCTCAGCAGTCATCACTGGCAGTTAAGAGGCAGATATAAACAAACAAAAGAAACAATACTCTTTCAAACTGAGTGAAAAATGCGCAAATTTCTACCTTTAATGAGTAAAAATTGGATTTATCAAAAAGAAAAATAAGTAAGTCTTCTGGATGGGTTCTTCTTTAATGAAACATTTCATCTCACCTCCCAGAGACTTCTTCAGTCTGAGGAGTTTCAGGTGAACTCAGCCTTATAAGCACTGCCTCCACCTGGACAAACAGGTTGGTCACATGCAAAAGAGGACCATCAGTCAAACAATAGGTCATTAGTGCCTTGATTGGCTCTATTGTTCATAGAGGGTCATGTGCCCCATCACCTGACTATCGTTAGGGCCCTGAGATTGAGTCATACTGGCAATAACAGCATTGTAGGAGGGGGACAAYTGGACAKGAAGGCCTCCACCTCTGTTTAATGGTGGACGGTTTTTCTTCTCAAAGATGGCTTCCTTTACTCCTCTCTCAAACCAACGTTCCTCTCTATCAAGGATGAGAACATCTTCATCCCTGAAAGAGTGACTGCTGGCCTGTAGATGAGTGTAAACTGCAGAGTCCTGGCCTGTAGATGAGTGTAAACTGCAGAGTCCTGGCCTGTAGATGAGTGTAAACTGCAGAGTCCTGGCCTGTAGATGAGTGTAAACTGCAGAGTCCTGGCCTGTAGATGAGTGTAAACTGCAGAGTCCTGGCCTGTAGATGAGTGTAAACTGCAGAGTCCTGGCCTGATGATTTTGCTTGTCTGTGCTGGCTCATTCTGTTGAATAGTGGCTGCTTTGTTTCCTCGATGTATAACTTGATCACAGTCCTCCTTAACAGCATACACAATATTACTCTATTTTTGCCCTATGAACAATAGAACCAATCAAGGCACTAAKGACCTGTTGGTTGGCTGATGGTCCTCTTTTGCATATGACCAACCTGTTTGTCCACCATGTGGAGGCAGTGCTTATAAGGCTGAGTTCACCTGAAACTCATCACACTGAAGAAGTCTCTTGGARGAGATACGAAACGTTTCATTAAAGAACCCGTCCAGAGGACCTACCTATTTTTGTTTTTGATTTTTCTACCTGAATTACTGAGATGCATCAGGACAATTGGTTTTGTGTTGTTTTTGGCTCAGACTGGGACAGATGACCGGATGAGTGTTTTGTTGTGCGTTTCAGCACGTTTCCAAGTGACAGGTGGAGCTGGGGCGTCTGCATGAATAAAAGTCGACTGCAAACCAGCTGCTTCTCTGTGACAGCTGCAATGACCAGGAGTCCATTCCCCCTGCCAAAGCAGACACTGAAGCCTGGGATCTGTTTGTACAGCTTCAGCCACACAACGCAGAAACCTCTCTGGTTCTGAATGTGAATCTGGAGTCGAAGCATAATCGTGTCTGTCAGACTGACTCTTTTCATCCAGACACCCACCTTCCTCACACCTCCTCACCACGCCGGTGACTCAAACCTAAATGAATCTTTATTTTCCTCTCTCACAGCGACCAGTCAGAACAAGAAAACACTTCACCCTGCTGAGTGTACTTTCTTGGGCACTTAAAGATAAAAGTCATCAATAATGACTCAGCTCTTCRGCGTTGTGTTGTAATAATGGGACAGTTTTCTGAAGGTTGGACAGGCTGCTTGTTGATCAGCCCAGGACTGATAACAGAGATGAAGTAGTTGTTTTTGGGGTGTGCTGTGCAAATCTCACTGTTGTAAATAACAAATAAATTTAAATTTAGTTCGCTTGTGCTAACTCATTTGTAGATTGTGTGAAAGATGAATCAGAGCCTCGAAAATATTGTCGGATGGATAAAAATCCAAAACTTTAAACCTTCTTTTCTATTTGGAGCAAACATGTTCACATTATTCAAGCGACTACACAATAAAACAATGTGAAATGTCAACTTGAAAACATGAAAACAAATTGTCTCAAAAATATCTTCAACTAAAGTAATTTTAAGCAATCCAAATATCTGCTGTTACAGATTATAATGAATCATCTGATGATGTAAAACATATTTTTGAACAGCAACAAATCCTTTGATTAGTTTGATGATAAAGCAAATATTTTATTAAAACTGTTGTACGTTTCTCTTTATAAATAAAGTTAAATTCATTTGTTTATAACACATCCATTATTCTGATATGTTTTAATGCATCTACTTTTTAATTTGTTTGAAAAGAGTTAGTTTTGGAAAAAGTGCTTGCTTGTTTTTGGAGAGTGGGAAGTTGTAAAATGCTGAAAAGGGAGAACAAAAACATTATTAGAACCCTAAAAGTCAGATCAATCCTTCGTTAATCTTACCAATTATTTCTAAACAGCTACTTTTACTTTTATTTTGTTACCTTTTAAAGCTAAAAATGGTACTTTTACTTCTTTACTTTAAAATGTAACAA